ATCCTCATCCGAGTTGATTCTTCTCATTAACTTCACATCATCTGCAAACAAGGACACTTTTGAGTCTATTCCTTCCGTTATGTCGTTCACATATACCAAGAACAGCACAGGTCCTAGGACTGACCCCTGTGGAACCCCGCTTGTCACAGGTGCCCACTCTGACACCTCGTCGCGTACCATGACTCGTTGTTGCCTCCCTGTCAGATATTCTCTGATCCATTGCAGTGCCTTTCCTGTTATGTGTGCCTGATCCTTTAGCTTTTGCAGTAACCTCTTGTGAGGAACTGTGTCGAAGGCCTTCTTGCAGTCCAAAAATATGCAGTCGATCCACCCCTCTCTCTCTTGTCTTACTTCTGTCACCTTGTCATAAAACTCTAGTAGGTTTGTGACACAGGATTTTCCTTCCCTGAAACCGTGCTGGTTGTCAATTATACGCTTGTTTCTTCCAGGTGCCCCACCACTCTCCTCCTGATGATCTTCTCCATGACCTTGCATACTATACACGTTAGTGATACAGGTCTGTAGTTTAGTGCCTCATGTCTGTCTCCCTTTTTAAAAATTGGGATTACATTTGCCATTTTCCATACCTCAGGGAGTTGCCCAGTTTCAAATGATGTGTTGAAGATCTTTGTTAATGGCTCACACAATATCTCTGCTCCCTCTTTAAGGACCCATGGAGAGATGTTGTCTGGTCCCATCGCCTTTGAGGTGTCAAGTTCGCATAGCAGCTTCTTCACCTCCTCCTTGGTTATATGTACCTCATCCAGCACTTGCTGGTGTGCCCCCCTGTTCTGATTTCCTGGAGTCCTACTGGTTTCCACTGTAAATACCTCTTTAAATCTTGTGTTGAGCTCCTGACATACCTCTTGGTCGTTTCTTGTGAATTCCCCATCACCCTTCCTCAGTCTGATTACCTGGTCCTTGACTGTTGTTTTCCTCCTGATGTGGCTGTACAACAGCTTCGGGTCAGTCTTTACTTTTGATGCTATGTCATTTTCATATTGTCTCTGAGCCTCCCTTCTTATCTGTGCATATTCGTTTCTGGCTCTTCGGCTGATTTCTTTATTTTCCCGAGTTCTCTGTCTTCTGTACCTTTTCCATTCTCTAGTACACCTAGTTTTTGCCTCCCTACACCTTTGGGTGAACCAAGGACTCGTTCTGTTCTTCCCATTATTTCTGTTTCCCTTGGGAACAAACCTCTCCTCTGCCTCCTTGCATTTTGTTGCTACATAGTCCATCATTTCTTGTACTGGTTTTCCTGTCAGTTCCCTCTCCCACTGAATGTCTTGAAGGAAGTTCCTCATGCCTGAGTAGTTCCCCCTTTTGTAGTTTGGTTTTCCCAGCCTATTCCTGCTACTCTCTCCACTTGGAGCTCAACTATGTAGTCGAAGCACAGAACCAAATGATCACTAGCTCCCAGGGGCCTTTCATACATGATACCCTCGATGTCCGAACTACTCAAGGTGAATACAAGGTCCAGCCTTGCTGGTTCATCCTCTCCTCTCTCTCTGGTAGTGTCTCTAACAAGTTGATGCATGAGGTTTTCCATTACCACATCCATCATCTTGGCTCTCCATGTTTCGGGACCCCCATGGGGCTCCAGGTTTTCCCAGTCAATCTCCTTGTGATTGAAATCACCCATAACTAGTAACTCTGCTCCCCCCATGTGTGCTCTCCTGGCCACCTCGGCTAGTGTGTCGATCATTGCTCTGTTGCTCTCATCGTATTCTTCTCTTGGCCTCCTGCAGTTCTGTGGTGGGTTGTACATTACTGCAATTATCACCTTATGTCCGTCAGACTGGATTGTTCCTACTAAGTAGTCCCTTTCGCCCATGCCATCCATTCCTTCCATGTTCTCAAAACCCCACTGGTTTTTAATGAGCAGTGCAACTCCTCCTCCCCCTCTCCTCCCTCTGTCTTTCCTGAGGATTTGATATCCGGATGGAAAGACTGAATCTGTTATTATTCTGGTGAGTTTTGTTTCTGTGAGTGCTATTATGTCTGGGGATGTCTCCTTGACTCTTTCGTGCCACTCCTCATACTTGTTTGTTATTCCATCTGCATTTGTATACCACACCTTCAACTTCTTTTCTAAGACTGTGGCCTGGGAGGTATATTGGGGTTGGGGAAGTGGGAGACCTGGTAAGGAACTATGGGTTGTTGCTGTGGGGGTGGAGTTTGTAATGTAGTGGGTGGGGGCATTGGATGTGGTATGGGTGTTTTGATTTAGAGTGTTTGGTTGCACTGGGGTTGACCTGGTTGGGAGGCTTCTATAGGAAGTTGTGAGGGAGGCTGTATTTGATCTTCCTGGGTCTGGGATCTCCTGTCTGTCTTCTCCATCCCCTCTCTTTCCTCCTTTCACCTCTGTACCATCTCTCTCAGTTTCTGCCTTTCTTCTTGTGTTCTGTCGCGGTCGAGATACACCTTCCTGTATGCTGGCATGTCCCTTAATCGTGCTTTCTCCTGCAGGATCCTGGTCCGAGTCGCTTCTGCCTTGAAGGTCACTTTCACTGGCCGGGTTCATTTTCTTACAAACCCCCCTATTCTCCGAAAATTTTCCAGCTGGGTCATGTTGTCTTCTCCTATTGCTTTTATGATGCTTTCAATTGCTTTTTTTTCCCCTTGTTTTCTTGCTTCATATGTTTCCCCTTCAACTTCCTGGAGCCCATACACAAAGACTGACCTCACCCTTTCATTCTCCCACTGCATATCCCTGTGTATCCCCTCATTTAATTTGGTTTCCTCCACTGCAGCTTTCCTTTCTTCAGTTTCACTGGCTAATGTACTTGGGCTCAGTGGGATGTCCTTTTCCCTTCTCGGCTTTCCTTGGGCTCTGTTGTTCTGTTAGGTCCTCCACATAAAGCTTAGCTCTTTCATTTACTACAGTCTCATCTGATAGAGCTTCTCCATGCAGTTGTGCCCCTTCTTTCCCTACAGTCCCCTTATTTGTGGCTGAGGTAGCAGTCTCTGTTGTCAATCCCAAAATGTTATTTAGTTCTTTAGGCTGTTTCAGATTTTTCAGTTCCTCTTCTAAATTCTGTATCCTAGCCTCTGCTGCTTTGACATGCACCTCCCACTTCCTGCTTTCCATATCTATCCTCTCTTCCATTCTCATGCTAAGTTCTTCTAGTTTCTTTTCCCATTCATGATCCCTTTTTATGAGCTCTGCTGCCCAATCTTCCTTTGCAGCTTCCTCCTCCTGTCCCTTGGTTTTTCTTGTTGCTCTCTGGCAACCCATTTTGTTTTATCCTGATTGCCTCAGAGTGGGAAACCTATGTAGTTCTGTATGTTAGGTTAGTAATGTGTATGTCAGAGTGTGGGGGGGGGGAGGTAGTGGAGGAACTGTGGCTATGTGGGAGAGGATTGGGGAGTGATGGGGAGGGTGAACGGGGGAGGGGAGGGTGAATGAGGGAGGGGAGGGATCAGGGGAAGTAGTGAGATGTCAGTGGTGAGGGGGAGTGTATGAGTGGTTGGAATGTGTGTGTGTGTGGTGGTGTGTGTGTGTGTGTGTGTGTGTGTGTGTGTGTGTGTGTGTGTGTGTGTGTGTGTGTGTGTGTAATTATGTGTCGAATTATGTGTGGGTTTATTATGTGTCTGAAAAGTAGGTGGCTTGTGCTTGGAGTGTAATGTGGATTCTCAGTGGTCGCTTGTGTCCACAACCTCTTGTGACCTGACTCCCACCCTCCTGGTACTTACACTCACCTACTTACAATGTTGCCTATGCCTGACCTGCCACCTGCCTTGTTCAATGGATTACCAATTGCTATTCCTTATTGAATACTTGAGTGCCTATTCTTTATCGTGCTATGAGAGTTAGACCATTCACAATCAGCTTGGCGGTTAATTGGAACCTGAACCCCACACCCAAACAACCACTCATAGGTGGATACAGTACTTGTAGTGCAGCTGTAGCAGCCTGTAGATTGTCCAGCTCGATGTGACGTCCTGGCGTAGATCCAGCTAGATGTACATCCTGGCATAGATCCACCTCAATTTCTTCTCATTAATAATGTACCCTGTTCACTGTATTTCTCTCACTGGTCACACGATTGTTTCACTTTATTATCTTTCTTGGGTGACACTTGACAATGTCGCCTTACCACCCTCACTAGCCTGCCCACTCTGCGCCACAACGTTTTTATTTTCTAGATCACTTACAAAATTGTGGCTCTCCCCACACTTATGTGGCTCAGGCAGATTAAAAATCACTTCTAGGATTGTTCACTACCCTGACACACTTAGCAACCCTTGCAGAACACTTGGGTAGCCCTCAAAAACACTTATATTCCCGGAGCACGGAAGGCGTGACTCACGCGCTCGCTGTCCCTACTGTGTGTGTGTGTGTGTGTGTGTGTGTGTGTGTGTGTGTGTGTGTGTGTGTGTGTGTGTGTGTGTGTGTGTGTGTGTGTGTGTGTGTGTGTGTGTGTGTGTGTGCGCGCGTGCGCGCGCGCGCGCGCAGAGTAAAAAATGTGAATATTATGTATGTTGAAGAAATTTAAACTTCAGAATCCCGACAGCTACTTCTACAAGCACATATCTACACTTCAGGATTATTCATGAATATGCTAAGAGTGGTACACAACTATTTTGAAAATTAAATCAGGTACTTTTACCCTGAGACAAATAAAACAGTTTTTCAAGATGACGCTAGGAAAATACGAATATAAAACGAGTACTACACTGAGAATGGAAATAATTTTTAGTGGAGAAAAAAAAATCAGTTCAGCAAACATCATTATGTCCGACGTTACGTCACCTACGTCACACTTTTTTGTGTTCATTATTCTTTAAAAATACTATGACTAAAATGCATTTTTAGTGTTCTTTAAGGTTTTCTTACACAAGTTTTATGGTAGCTGTCATAATTTTAAGGCATTTTATTCGGTTTATGTCAAAAACTGGGTTACGTCACGGCTCTTGGAACCAATTAATGATGCAGGGCAGGGTATGACTGTACTTTAAAATTGCATGCGTGTCAAATAATCTCAGGAGCTGCTTACTTGTAGTCTCATGTAAGCAAATGATGCCTGGTGGATGGCTGTTATCCATGAGTCTCTCTCACTCTGGCATAATGCTGCACAATGTTGTGTTCCTCCCTCAAACACTGCAACACAGAACAAATGTTATTATAGTGTCTACAGTATTTTTTTCTTCTATTTATTATCAAAAATATTTTTTTTATAATATTGTACTAAAATACGAAGTATTAAACCTGTGTGAGTTACTCAACATGGAATTAATATGAAAAATCTACACTTTGACATATAAAAACTATATACGTACGTACTTTCTTTGATAGGAACCATGGAAGGGTGACAACACTGGTATGTCATATCCATACCTACATTATTACTTACCTCTGAATGCCAGAAAGGTCTGGCATGCTTTATTCAGGCCTTGTGTGTTTCTGCTTAATAGTCGTCAGCAAAAAGATACTGCATCAGCCAAGACCTCCACAGCTTTAATCCAGTTAATATCCAGAAACAAGACACACAAACAGATTAAGTTGGAATCCAAGTCTCCCATGGACCCTATTGCAGAAAGTCATTTTTCATACCTCAAAATACATTTTTTGACTGTTGAACCATGGGGACCATACTGGAAACATATTAACAGCACTCAGAATAAGAAAGGCAGCTGTCAAATTAAGGCAAAATTCAAGTAGGTGTGATTCTGCTACAGAAACCTTACAAGTATAAGGTTAATTTTTTTTGGACACCAAAAGAATGTGCTGGGAACACAGTAAAAGAGGATCTCTCACTATAAATGTACCTGGACAGGCTGCAGGTTTATGAAGAGTGGAGAAGGGTGAAGAGGATCAGAGTACAGGCTCAGGGGGGATGGGAGCAAAGGCAGCAAACCTTCCTCAAGAAAAAGGACTTAAGCATGAGCATTGTACCGAGCATATCACCTGAGACGTACATCACCTGAAAAACTGCTGCAGTAAACAAGCATCTGGGGATCTAATCCAGGAGTCATTCACAACACTTTATGCGGCCTATGCCAAGCCCCATATTGGAGTATATAGCACCACTCTGAAACCCAAACCTGATCAAGAAAGCCAAGATTCTGGAGAAAGTGCAGAGGTTTGCAATGAGACTGGTTTCAGAGCTAAGGGGTATGTGATATGAGGAGAGTTTAAACGAGCTAAACTTCGCAACATTAGAGGAAAGAAGGACAAGGGAAGAATTGATAGGGTGGACAGGGACATATTGTTCGAGAGATAGGAAACAGAAACACGAGGGCACATCTGGAAGTTAAAAGCACAGCAATGTCAAAAGAATGCTAGTATTTCTTCAGTCTTAGGATGGTCAGAAAGTGAAAGTCCTGGACAGTTGAGGGGTAGGACAAGGTTCTCGAAGCAAGGAGAGAGTGCACCAAGTAGAAATCACTGAAAAGGCAGAGACAGGAGCAAGTTAAGATCTGACCCCTGCAACCACTTAGTGAGTCACACAACAGATGGCCCTTTGGCCCTGATCAACAACCAGTCTGCTGTAAGCCTAAAGATTTTGAAATTGGGGAGCCTATGAACATCAATGAGGTTCTTGCTGCACTCAAGATCTTGAAATCTTCTGCTCCTAGGCCTAACAGAATAACCCACAGTACGATGAAACCTATACTGGTGCAGGGACTATGCAAGATGTTTAACTTATGCTAACTCATGCTGTCACTACCAGCACTCTCACAGAAATAGGACAATACTCATACCTAAAGCACACAACCCATTGTAGCTAAAGGATTACAGGCCAATCACCATGGCCTCTGCCACAGTCCAGCTGTTCAATAAGATTTTGGCTGCCAGAGAGACAAGTGACATAAGGCATCTTTCCCTGTCAGGAGGTGCACTGAGAACCTGCTCACAGGGATGTTGTTTGATGTGCTCCCTGATTGAGACCATGAACTCAACCATGCGACACATTTGGCATTCTTTGACATAGCAAAGGCCTTTGATAGTGTATCCCATCACACTATCGACTGATGTCTGGCAAGGAAGGGTATTCCATTGTCTGTCAGGATATTAATTATGTTGGGTTACAGTCGTGGTTCAACCGTCATCAGCCAAAAGGCAAGCTTTGAGAATGTTCAAATTACACGTGGATTGAAACAAGGAGATCCCTTATCAACAATTTTTTTAATCTGGTGATAAATGAGGTGATTACCAAAGCTAAGGAACTGGGGATAAGTGCGGATATGGGGAACAAAGTGCTTGCATTTGCTGACAATTCTGTGATTACAAAAATGCGTTCCAAGTTACAAAAGGTCACCGAAGTCGTGTGTGGTACCCTGGCTAGCAGTGGGCATGAAATTCATGCCAAAAAGTGCCACTTGCTGAACCTAGAAGTTGATATGTATAGAAATTGTTTGTCAGAGATGGTTCCCTACTGGAAGATCTCAGAAACATCACTGAGGCCCCTTCTCTCAACCAAGTCACCAAAGAGGGTTTCCCTACCCCCACCATTACCGAATACTGAAACGCAACTACCGCCTAGTCTTCAAGCGTGTTCCAAACAGAACTTGGAAGGATATATTGCTAAGTATGCCACAGCATTCGTAAATGGCTCTTGCCACACGAAACCCCAGTTTTGTACTTTCATGTGCATGTTGCTGGCAGTGGCCTAGGTCTACTCGCAGCTGGAGAACACATGGTCTAGGGCAAAGGCCAGCATTGGGCTGGGCCCACCAGAATCACTAACTCTGAAGTAACCGATGACCAAGAGTGCTCCCGAGTATGGAACTAGAATATGTTCACCACCTACCCTCTACTTATCCACCAATGAGTGCCCTTGGGCACCATCCTCCTGAGTGGGAATAATTATGCCCATGTTATAAAGGTCAGAGTGTCTGCTTTGGTAACTCCATCTAAGACTTCTAGATGTACACATGGTGCCTCTGAGCTCTGCGACTCTTGTAATGCATCTAGGACACTAGGTTATGTCTCACAAAAAATGCCCTCGAGTACCTGAAGGTCAATGCAAAAGGCAAGATGAGATCTCCAAAATTACATGCGGGAGAATGCTCCAGCAGGGGTATGAGGTTGAGAAGGAGGCATGGGAGGTTGCTCCTGAGGGTGTATTGGTTTGAGAGGGAGGCATGTGAGGTTGCTGCAGCAGGGGTGTCAGGTTGAGCTTAAAGAGGCATGGGAGATTGCTACAGCGGTGGCGTCAGGTTGAGAGGGAGGCATGGGAGGTTGCTGCAGCGGGGGTGTCAGGTTGAGAGGGAGGCATGGGAGGTTGCTGCAGTGGGGGTGTCAGGTTGAGAGGGAGGCATGGGAGGTTGCTGCAGTGGGGGTGTCAGGTTGAGAGGGAGGCATGGGAGGTTGCTGCAGCAGGGGTGTCAGGTTGAGCTTAAAGAGGCATGGGAGATTGCTACAGCGGTGGCGTCAGGTTGAGAGGGAGGCATGGGAGGTTGCTGCAGCGGGGGTGTCAGGTTGAGAGGGAGGCATGGGAGGTTGCTGCAGCGGGGGTGTGAGGTTGAGAGGAAGACACAGGACCCCTTTAGAGGTTCCAATCGCAAGGCTCACATCATTGCTTGGAAAGGAAACGAGCAGAGTCGTCGCTAGGGTTGGTGTAGCCCGGGGCGGAATCTTTGGTGTCACCCGGGGTGGCATCTTTGGTGTCACCCCCCTTGAAATCCAAGGGCGGGGGGATAGGGGGAGTAAACTCCAGTTACATCACTGCTACATGCCCAGTGACTAATGTTTAGCAATGAGAATGTTTAAGGACCATAAACCGAACTTTATTAATTATAAAATAAATAATCGTAGTAATATTGAGGAAACAGACTCAAATACCACTTTGAGAAACCATACCCCCGGCCGGGATTGAACCCGCGGTCATAGAGTCTCAAAACTCCAGCCCGTCTTGAGTCATACCACTTTGAGTATAGGAAACAGATCATACATTTATTCATCTTCAACAATGAAAAAAAAACTTGAAAAATAAAGAAAAATACTAGTTCTGATTTGACCTTGAGTACAGGTAACATCTCAATGAATCTGATATTTCATTTCCTTGCCTTCAATCCTGCAAAATCGTCTATCACATCATCAAAATCAATGATTTTTCCCTATATAGGCCTATTTGTACTCTGTAATTCTATAATAGGCTATACAGAAATGAAGGATTTTTCTCTTATGTTGCTGCAGCACGGTTTCGGTCATTAGTGTTACCTTCTTTAGAGGCTCTATGGTTTCACCCGGGGCGCCCCCCCCCCGCCTCCCCCCTTACGATGCCACTGGTCAGACGAGACCTATATTCTGGACATCCAGATCAAAGCAGACATGCCCAGAAGTGTGGGATACGATGTCCAGGCCATCACATATTGGGTCAAGGATAGAGCTGATGTAAGCTACGTCCAGTTACCCTGAATTGGAGAGGCAGGCGAGCCAGAGAGAGCGTGCATACTCGAAGGGATAGGGGTCTCCATCAGAGATATGGGGAACTGTTCGGTGAAGACCTGAGCTGGACACGTTTCCTTTATCAAATGCGGACTATGAGTATGGGGAGACAAGTATAGAATGACTGATGTATCCTGAGAACTGGCCAACGTGCGAGGGGAGAAGCCTTAGGTCATTCACCACTATTAGGGGTAGATATGACATTTTCTGGGGCTAATCCCAACATGGAAAAGGCTATTCGAACCTTCCGTGTCCCTAACCACCTATACTCATTTTCCTTATTATTATTATATTATTGCTTTTCGTTAGTGTTTATTTCTAGGGTTTCTTACTATTATGGGAAGCGCTAAACCCGTAGGGATTATACAGCATTTGTGAGGGAGGGATGAAAGGTATTCAGACATAATTCAGGGAATCGGAGCACAGATCCAATTCCCTTGAGAGGTCTGGGGGCTTCACTTCCCTTCCCAGGGTAGCCGTGTTAACCCTATGGTCGGGTATGGCCGCTCATGAGAAAAGAGCAATGGTGCTTCTACCCGCATGTCACCTGTGGCCTGCCAACTCAGAGTGGTAAAGAAAGATAGGGAAAATCAAATTATGTAATATATAAAGGGAGGTGCCACCTCCGGAACTGGATTGGCGACCCTCATCCTCAGAGAAAAGAATAAACTTTAGGGAAAATTCGAGATTCTTCCCGGAGCGTTTGAATATTTTCTTCTACCACCCCGTATATTCTATGTGAACTTTATTTAAAGACAAAATGCATATATGCATATATATATATATATATATATATATATATATATATATATATATATATATATATATATATATATATATATATATATATATATATATATATATAAAATAAATATTACATATAATACAAGGACAGATATGATCTAGTTCACTGTGGGTTTTCCATGGTTCTGCAACTGAAATATAGTTACCATATATTAAATGGTGCAATAACTTTTTCACCCAACAGAAAGCATTATACTACAAAATTTAAGATAAAAACAGCCTATGCAACACAATATAAAAAGAGTCTGTTCTCCAATTTAAACATTAGTCAGTTAACACAGTTACACAAGCAGGATTTTCAACATAGGTATACAGACGAATGAGAGATGAGACTGGACTACCGTGGAAGTGGGTACTTTACTGAGTAATGAACGCCATATTCATCTGGTGGACGGTAGCAAACTTATAACTTTATAAGTACCTATGTTATATGATAAAAACGCATGTTTTTTCACTTATCTTTCGACTATGTATATCAGTTTTTGTGTGTGTAACTACGTTATGTAACTAATTTACGAATCGGAGGACGGATTGATACAAGAACATGTGAGAGTGTACCTATGGACACAAACTGGAGATGATATACTGATAGCTGTTCTGCTTACAACCAGATCTGTGTTGCACCTCTGGGATGTAACTCTCCTCTTCTTTCTGATATGAACAGGCAAATGTTTTTTATTAGCACCAATTTTTGTTTTGAGCTGCTGTACTTACCAAGGTTAAAGGCAAATGGGGCTTCTGTGGAGTCATCTAACGTCACCTGGCAATTTTCCAGAACAATAACTCCAGCAGGCTCTGACCAGTGGTCTCTTGACTTGAAGTAAAAGAGTAGGTTGCCTCGCAGACGACACCATCTCTCTGTGCTCACTGTTAGAAAAATATGTGAGTAAATTTAATGATTTTTTAATTATATTTGGGAGAACAAGTTGTCAAAACAGGCAACAGGGCATTATAAAGCATCGCTAATTACATTTTCCCATTTAGTACATTCGTTTACATATTGCATAATACTATAATACAAATCTCTCTGTAGAACTGCATTTCCTTTTATAAAATTTCAAGATCCTGTAAACTTAAAGACGAGGATTGTTATCAGTAAATTATAGGAAAGCCTGGATAACAAGAATATACAAAACAAGATATGCTAAGCTAACGATGATACTCATTAAGACCTTGTACTCTGTACACTGGAACATGAACAGCCCCTTTTAAACTTGACAGAATTGAAGATCTGGAGAATGTACAGAAAACTTATTAGTTCCAACACCTGAAGTTCCATAAACTTGACTCTGGAAAGCAAGTGAGAAAGATGTACATATAATTTATACCAGGAAAATTCTGGCTGAATTTGTAATTAACCTGCACACTGAAATTACTCCCTATGAAAGCAAGCGAAAGACTAGGCATAAGACCTCCAATAAAGAGGCTGGGATGCAATAAGTCTATGACGACCAAGACTTGTCAACACCCTCCCTTCATACCATAAAAGGGATTACCCCTTGTTGTATGAAGTAAAACAAATCACGATCAACTAGGCTGTGGTATTCACGTTGGACTGCATGCTATAAGCAATAACATAATTCATCAGATCATCAAAGAGGCCTAGTCTGTGGTCGGGCAGCGGTGACGATTCCCGTACAAATAATAATGACAGAATACACTTAATGACCATTACACTTAACATCAATATTTCTGTACATTTAATTATCAATATCTGTCACAATTCACTACTCTTTCATGGTAATGAATTATCATAAAACACTTCACACTGTCTCCATACATTACTGGTGCTTCCTCCTTGATGGTGTCCTTCCTCACTGGTGACTAGTTGCTCCTAGAACCTGGCCCTTGTTATCATACACAAGCATTAAAAATTTAAAGCCGATCAAATGAGGCCTTCACGAGTTAAGAGCGAAATATAAACGAAACGTTAGAGGAAAAAAAATCAGGCAGCTATTTAAAGGTCCCCTTTTGGGGACACCTAGGCTGGGTGCTGTTGGTTTATCATCAGGAAGAATCCCTAGACACAAATCCTGATCACATAATAAACTCAATAGCTCTTTAACCCTTTCACTGTCTTATCCACTGATTTATGTCATTGATGCCAGCGTCATCCGAATAGATATACGCATAAATTCTAGTGGCCTCAAATTTGGCGCGATGAGGTCCGGTAGGCCTAGCCATGAGGTAACTGGTCTGCGTGGTCAGTGTGCAGAGTATTAAAAAAAATAAGAGCCGCCGTAATGCATTGCGGGAATGTCATCTTAGTATACCATCACCATGCTGCACGAATACGAAGACGTCAATGGATATTATTCCTTAGTGACGGTTCCAACAATGAGGATCACAGAACCAAGAATGAGTTATCTGGTTTCCAACATTTAGTAATGGAAAGTGATGCAAGGGATGCTGGAAATAACGCTGAAAATCCTAATGATCTGCAACCATCTACGTCTGGAGTTGGTCAGTCTGTAACGTGTCCACCACACCGTAAACGAAAGCAGATATTCTCCCTTGGCTTAGGCACAGATATGAGTAATGGTTATGATAGTGATGTGAACTTTGATATTCTAGAAACTGATGATCAGCCAAGTGATAATGACAATAATTATTCACTCTGTGACGTGTCAATATATATGGCGCAGCACATTGTTTAATAGTTTGCCCCCCCCCCCCAAAGGGATGTAGTACATCACAGGACTCAACACCGGCGATAGAGATAATGAGAATGATTGTGCATTCATTAGCATGGGTAGTGGGCCGTAGGCATTGCCAGCACCACATGCAGGAGTGGCTGATAGGAGAGGGAGGTGAGAGGCGCGAGTGCCAGCTCAAGCTGGAAGTCATACCCTACAAATCACACCTTGGACTCCAGGCCGCCTTTACCACACACACATCACCAGTCACAAAGATCCATCAATCAACCTTCAGACCGCATCTGGGACATGTAGGAGGCTGCAGATTTTTTGCCCAGTCCCCATCAATTTGACGATACAGTGGAAACCAGCCCAACTGTACCCTTATGAATAATGCCAATGAACCTTAATTCTTTGTATTGTATTTCGATGAGTCTCTGATGTAAATGATAGTGAGGGTAACCAACAGATACTTCCAGTATACAATGCCAAACACGTTGGTTTCCCTACAATCATGGCTACTCCTGTGGAAAGACAAAACTGCAGTTGAGACGTATCTCGTCTTTGCCACAATAATGCTCATGTTACGGGCATAAGCACAGTATTGCATCATAGTGATCGACCACTGTATTCAGTGATCTCATCCCCATCAAGAGATTTCTCCTGCTGCTATATATTCTACACTTCTCAGACAAGACGGAGCCCCACAGAAGTGATATGTTATACAAGATTAGGGGTGTTTTTATGTATCTCAAACAAAAGTTCACTAAGTATTTTGATCTTGTTCAAAGCCTGACTATCATTAAAGTAGTATATACCAACCAAGAGGGAACGTTTTGGTATCAAGCTGTTCGTGTTGTGTGGTTGTGTAACTGGACTGGTACCGGATCTCAATGTGTATACAGGAAGACAGACAATGAAAGATGCCAGGAGGTTATTGGGAACCTCAGGTTATATGATGAGAAAAACGATGGGACCATATCTTGGTGAGCGACATATATTATACACGGATAACTGGTACACAAGTCCTTTACTCAGCAATTTCCTGCATGTGATCATGACTGAAGTCGTGTGGTACAGTGCGTGGAACACACAAACATGCCCAGGTATAACGCAGGTATTGGTACCGACGAGGTGCAGGCATTTCATGCCAATGATATCACGGAATTTCGGTGGCATGACAAACGTGATATGACATTGTTGACAAAGATCTACCAGCACGACATGAAAGACACAGGAAAGGTGAATAGAAACACAAATGAACTCATTGTGAGACCAGCTGCTGTCATGGAATATTCCGCCAATATGCGTTTGGTGGACAGATGTGACATGCAGATAGAGTTTGCTGTGTCCGCAAGAGTTACAAGTGGTACATAAAACTTTCATTCCATGCTATGGGCATTACAATGTTGAATGCATACAATATGTACCACATCAAGACGGGCAACAGACTGCCATGCGCACTATACTGTCAGACAAATAATACAGAAATATCAGAACAACACATGCGCCACCGAGCTGATCACCAAATACCCTCTTGTTTGAATTTCATGATCACTTCTTAACTAGACTTTTAAAGACAAGAAGAAGTGGGCTCAGAAGAGATGTTATATCTGTGAAAGCACGAGGCACCCAGCAAAGAGCAGGGACATGCGCTTTATGTGCAGAGAAAACACCGTTGATGGAGCTGTGTTTCAGGGACTTCCACAGACTAACAGTTCTAGGAACATGGCCAGTGCCTGTTAATGTGTGTATGTTAGAACAGTAGTAATGTGAAAAATTTGGACACGTGCGTGTGTTTACGTTGTTTTACAAAGAATGTACTGATGACACTGAGTACGGGTACTATGTAGTATACAATGGGTGGCCATACGTATATTATGAATGATATGGGTCTCATGGTCTACAACAAATACTGGAAAACATGCAAAAAAATAGAAAACACCCCGAATAAAGTGTATATAATTATAAATAGCATCGTAGCAATCGTACACAACAGCTCAATCGTAATGAGCAAGTACTGTACCCAGCACATTGTGTTACAGCGTTCACAACGATGTGAAGTGACGCCCATGACGACTACATGGATAGCATCATATAAGTAATACAATGAGGCAAAATTAATAATTATTAAATTAAATTCATAGTTTTTAATATTAAAGTTTCTATTAACACATTTATAAGATTTTCGCCTGACTATATACATAGAATAATTAAGGGCTGGAAAACATTAGGGACGTGTTTCCATAAGACGCCTACCGTCCATGTTCACCTATCAGTATACAATGGGCACCTGGGTGTTAGTCGACTGGTGTGGGTCGCATCATGGAGCAAAACTGACCTAATTTGCCCGAAATGCTCAGCATAACAAGTGGCTTTCTATATAGTAGTGTGTCATTGATGTCAGCTAGGCCTGTATACCTTGTAGATGTACTTGTAGTAAATAAAGATATTATTATTATTATTTATTAACAGCAGTTTATGAGTCTGGCTTAAGTAGTCGCCACCTGTGGCTCAATTCTTGCTACCCCTCAAGGGAGGCTCCTTGACGCTGGTGAGGGGCTCTTGATCTAGGAAATTGAATCTATGCTCCAGTTCCGTGAATTAAGCCTGAATACCTTCCACCCGCTCCCCACAGGCGCTGTATAATCCTACGGGTTTAGCGCTTCCCCATGATTATAATATCGTCATGGCTGCCAGTAAGGTTGCTAACACCATAAGCCTACCTCTCTCATTTTTTTAATTAACTGGGGCTTATGCAGTGGAACCTTGCTCTTTTAATGGCATGGTAATGCAACACCACTTTACATGAATTAATAATTCTATAACAGAATGAAATCACCGTTATTATGGCAATAATGCAAAGAACTTAATATGCAAAGAAAATTTATAGGCATAAAACGTGATATAAATTAGAGACTTGAAAACACTGAATCAGTGTTTATATGTATTGATAATTCTAAAATATTTTCCACAATGACTTTCTGAAGAGTCAAATCATTCACGTTGTAACGTGGAGAATCCAATTTACGTTATAGATGAACGTGACTAAGTCTATTAAATACTGCTACACAACTACGAAGCAAATGACGACCGGACGAACACACATATGTGGAGGATATCTTATGTGTGTGCACTTGAGTGATCTTAGTGATGTCAGCTAGGTGACAGAGTTGGCTCTGTCACCTAGACTCTGTCAGCATCCCCACAGATCACCCCACTCTTTATCCC